TATCTATCTATCTATCTATCTATCTATCTATCTATCTATCTATCTATCTATCTATCTATCTATCTATCATCTATCTATCTTATCTATCTATCTATCTCCATATTCTTTATATATTGATCTTTTCTCTCTCCCTCTCTTTATATTTTTATCTTTTCTGTGTCTCTGTCTATCTATCATTCACCATTTTTTTTCTTTTTCTTTTTTGCTACATGTGACTTTTACTGCATAATCTTTGCGGGAGGAATACAGGATATTGTATTGATATCATTCACCATATCTATCTATCTATCTATCTATCTATCTATCTATCATCTATCTATCTTATCTATCTATCTATCTCCATATTCTTTATATATTGATCTTTTCTCTCTCCCTCTCTTTATATTTTTATATTTTCTGTCTATGTCTCTCTGTCTCTATCTGTCTGTCTGTCTGTCTATCTAATCTTTCTAACCATATCTATATTTTTATCTTTATTTATTTTCTGTCTTCTCTATTTCTTTCTTTCTATCTGCCTGTCTATCTATCTCCACATTTTCTGTATTTTGATCTTCCTTGTCTAACCTCCCTCTCTCTCTTTATATTTTTATCTTTTCTGTCTCTCTGTCTATCTATCATTCACCATTTCTTTTTTTTCTTTTTTCTTTTTGCTACATGTGACTTTTACTGCATAATCTTTGCGGGGGGAATACAGGATATTGTATTGATATATTCACCATATCTATCTATCTATCTATCTATCTATCTATCTATCTATCTATCTATCTATCTATCTATCTATCTATCTATCTAATCTATCATTACCTATCTATCGTCTATTCTATTTAAGAACTACAATAAAGCATTAAAAGCATTAAAGAATTATGTAACGTTTAAAAGAGGAACGTTAAAAATGATTTAAAAGGCAGGGGGAGCGAAGGCTTTCAGGGCAATAACCAGCCCCAGGGCTGCGTGCTCCACTCTGCACCCCAAGTTCTCACCCAGTTCTGGCGAAGTTGGTCCAATAAGCAATCATGGCTTTGGAGAGAGTCCTATGCCGGGCTCTGTAACCCAAGGGCGTGGCAAATGGTTTGCCAAAGACGTACTGAATGTCATCGGCATGATCCGCCCCTACCCAGCCGGGGTAGACGGGCATCCGGGAGGGCTCGGAGAAGAGATAGCTGTAGGTCTTGCCAGTTCTGTAAATAAACAAAGCGGAAAGATGGAAGGGTAAGATAGTAAGAACAATCACGGCTCGATTTCACGACCACAAGGGAGCCCAGCATTTCTGTCGTTAAGTGAGACCTTTGCTAAGGGAGGTTTTGTCCCATTTTATGACCTTCCTTCCCATGGTTGTTAAGTGAACCACTGCTGTTGTAAAGTGAGTAACCCTGTCGTCCAGTGAATCTGGCTTCCCCATTGACTTGGCTTGTCAGATGGACACAAGAGTGAATCACTGCAACTGTCATAACATCTGAATTTTGATCATGTGACCACGGGGATGCCGCAACAAAGTGTGATGAACAGTCCTAAGTTACTTTCTTCTGTGCCGATCCCGGGTAGAGGCAGGTATTTCTCTTTCTGGGCACAAGAAGAGAATAGATCTGCTGAACAAAACTCCACACTGGCAACAGGAAAGGCATCTGGCCAGTAAGCATTCAGCTCCATTCAGTTGCCCAGGCTCCACCCCATAAGGGATTGTGGGGTCGTTAAAACAAGATGATGATGATGATGATGATGATGATGATATAGGGTCTCCCGCTTGAGCAGGGGGTTATTCTGACTAAGGCTTCCTGAGAGCCTGAAGCAAACTTTTGTCCCGACAAAAACCCCTTTTATTAATTGACTGTGAATTCTGCTACTTCACATCCAGCAAAGTCTTTCGAGGGAGGATTTACAGTCACAGGCTTTATTTGGCTTGGAAAGCTGCCAGGCCGATCTCTGCAAAACTTGGCAAGGAGTCTCGGAGAGTCACGAACCAATGAAGGGAACTGATTGTCTCCTGCAAACTCCACTCCCCTTTCGCTCCTCTTTTATTTCCTCTGGGAGGGGCCATTCACCGTCCACCTGTGGCCTTACTCCCAAGTCGACCCCGATTTCTTAGCTAGTCTTTTCTCCTTGGAAGCTCTCCGCAGGCGCACACTGGGAACAGGCTCCAGCTGTTCTTCTGCCTCACTGATCTCCGACTCCGAAGGCAGCTGATAACTGTCGGGCGGCCCTGGTCCCCTCTCTGCGTCCGACGCAGAGCCCTCCTCAGAGCCTTCCCCAGGCTCCAGGACTGGCCCATTTTCCTCCCCAACCTCCTCACTGTCTGAGTGTGCCACTTGTTTTGCTGGCTACTGGCGGGCCGCAACACAAATATTTGGTTATTTTCAATATTTCAGACTTATTAATCAAGTGCCAAGAG